TGATTTAGTTATACTTTTTGTATTTTAAATTGATTTTATCTCTTATCTATTGTATTTTTATTCGTTATATTATCTCATAATTATGCCATAGTTTTAGCATCCGTATGGTACATAATTTTTAGAGGGCCACTGGTTTGTTAGTATTTTTATACTATTTTAGAGCTACCCACTTTAAATAAAGTCTTTACTTACTTACTTACTTACTTACTTACTTACTTACTTACTTACTTACTTACTAAACCGCTAGACTTTCGATCATGATCCTGTTATTACAATACGATAGGTCAGTGATAAGACCATGTGTGGACTTCCGAGCCAAACGGACAAAGGAGAATGATTTATTATCAAACATGGGTCTTTTAAGCAATTATTTAAACATGTAAGAGATGGTAAACCATATTTTCTCATCTCCGGAAAACAGTCCTCCCTCGGATTTGACTTTAACGCGACAACGTACTTCTTACGACAAAACTACAGAATCAGCTAAGTACAATGTTATGTAAGAGCAACAGGGGCGTAGAAATAACTAGATCATCAGATCAACCATAAATTTTTCTCACTTTATTGAAATTACCTCGGAACGTATACGTTCAAGACCAACTTTCACGTACTGCACATGGTCAAATGTCACGACCTTCTGTCCTTGCGATTTAGACGACACGACATTGGCCCGCCCATGATAAGAATTGTTCCACCTGGATCCAATGTAAAGTTCGTCAGCTAAGACTGCAGAGCATTCATTCTAGAACAAAAGAAAGCTACAGGTATCATAAGAACCAAAATAACAAACCTCCTTCGCAAACCAAAAACAAAACTTACGTAAGCGCGCATGCATGCGTCACATTCAAAAGCATCCTTTCAGGTGAATTCGCTGTTATGTTGTTAAATTAAGTTAGTACCGGATAAAAACACGAGAACGAAACAGTGGAAGCATAAGTTCCAGACCACCAGAAAAAGTCTGGCAACAGCCTTAAGTTCTTTACAGCCTGAGTCTCCTTTTCATTGATGAATATTTAATATACATTTTTAACGAAGCTATTATTGACTGTGTAGAAAGGAACGGCTCAACCAAATTTAAATTTTAGATCTTAGGAGCTTTTAATAGAGAACGTGGCACGGGAAAAAAACCACATGCATAGCAATGCAGAATTTACAATATTTGCCATCTTAATGTCCAACATTAAGCTACAGTGTAACACAGCCGCAAAGAGGTACAAGGAATAAAGCAAGATTTTCTACCGTCATTCCACTGAATTTGTTTTTTACTTTGTTTTTTTTTTCTAACCATTAACAAAATGCAGCAGAAGGGAAAAGTCCAAAAACAAGAAAACAAGAAAAATTTGAAAACGCCAGACCTGTGCTGTAGCCTAGAAACTACGATTTGAGGCTGAAAATATTTTTGTATAAAATAAGACGTTGAAAAGAAACTTCGGGCGACTGCCCACATGGCGAGCCCTGCACAATGACAGGCATAGCAAGTTAAATTGGGAAGACAACAGATGTACACCATGACATTTCTCCAATACTTTACAAAGTCATAAACGTTTGTTTTTCGTTTGACTTAGTTATGAAGACAACAAGAAACCATTCTCAAATTAGTGAGCTATTTCATTATACTCATTTCAACTGTGCTATGAAAGTGATCGCAATATGGAGATTTACTTTCTTGCAGTTATTAGGAAACGGTCTTTTCGTTTTTGCAAGTGACGCTTGCGGCTTATTTTCCGTTGGCTCAACATTCAAAGCGCTTTAAATCAGTCATCTTTTGCGTGTGTTATTATTTCCGAAAGATCTCTTCCCGTCTTTTTGTTTTTCGAACACCATCGCGTTATTGTAGCAACGGTCTCGTCCAAAATATTTTGACGTGAGTCATGCAAATGATGTGACGTTATTTGTCCATAAAAAAGACTTGTTTTTGCTTGAAAACAATAAAGAGCTAACGAATAGCTATTGACCATCATAACAACAGTTAAATTTCTCTTTGTTGCAATTGGTTATCAAAACATGAGATTCATCATCACTATTTGTGAAGACTAGTCGCTTCTTCGAGGACGGACATCGCATTTTAAAGTTACATCGCTTCATCGTTTGCCTAAGGAAAGATCAATATCTCGGGGAAGTGCAACATCATACACTAAAGTGGATTTCATAATTCAAGACTGAGTTAAGTATGGCTGAAGGTTTAGTCATTCTTTTCTGGCTAGGGATATTTTGGAGCAGCTTAAACGCGACACAAGGTAAGTTTCTATTGTTTCTGCTCAAGTTTTTAGCACAAATATTCTGTTAGTTTCTCTCAGAATTAAAATATTAAGTAATAACTAATCTTCTGGAAAGAAAGATCATGGAATCGTTGCTTTAAAATTTACATTTTCGGGGTCATTTTGCAGGATTTAGCGTGATTTAAGGCGACTCGACTACCTAAATTTTTGCCTAAGTTTGTTACTAGGCAATTGAAGCAAGCACTTCTCTTGTCATCTAACCTTAACACTTGATTTGAACTTACTTGAAAACAGCCTAACTTAGGGTTGTTAGAATGGAACTTGCTGTTTTTCTGGACTGTGTATCATGATCCATACTAACATCATGTTAAAAGCTACGTTCCATTTGATTTCCTTTTACTTCTACGAGCACTAAAAGTTTTTAAGTTTTAAAATTTTGTTAAGGAAACATTGTAACAGTCACTTTCAGAACAGACATAATTCTCTGCGGGAGTCTCCTTACAATTAAAAAACAATAATGATAATTCAAATTGATAAAAAGAGTCAAGAAAATAAACGGAATGAGACATACCATGCCGGTTCATGGGAGTAAAGAACATTTCCTGGCTACACCTAAGTAAAATGCCCGTTTAGACTACCATTAGGTAACTGCAAAGAAAAGAAAAATGGAGCCACACAGGATTGGGCCATAGGGCGAGTACATGATGTAAAACAAGGCCTGTAATTTCGGCACGATCCGGAAGAGTTAATATGATGATTTAAGACTTTTTTTATCAGAACTTATTTTCTGTAGAAGAGAAATTAATAATGACGATCAAAGATTACAACTGGTGGGAGCCACAAACAAAGTTCAATCTCTGTGACGCCATAATAGGTTTACATAAGAAAACCAAAGGAACTACCGTATTTTGACCTTAGTGCAAATAAATAAAAGTACTCAGTGAGGGCTGCTAATTTCCATATGGTTTTTGTCAAGCCTATACGAAAACTTACAAAACTATATGTGAGCATTCTATAATCAGCTAATCATCTCATAAATTGATGGTGCCTGTCTGTGTAAGGCAAAAGTGAGCTTCTTCGAAACTCCCAAAAAGTATTGTTATCTCGTAGAGAACACTTAATTTAAGGTGGCTCGAAAGAGTTTCCAGTATTTTCCAAGACTTAGATTTTGATGGGTCATTATAGCCACTCTATATCGGTTGATGCCAAATTCATGGTATCAAAAACTGCCCAATCATTCTTGAAAATGTTGCTGTCAATTTTGTGGGACAATAGGCTGCGATAGAAACAATATGACTTGCTAAAAACACCCTTAATCTTAGCTTTAAGCGCTTATAACTCAAAAACCATCTCGGTGACCCACATTCTTTAATATCAAATTGTAATAAGCATGATAAGATGCAAATTTTTGCACCTCTGTGGAGTGAGTTCAGAGCCAACTTACATTTTTGAAAATTTAAGGCGGCTCTGAACCTACTCCGCAGAATTTTTTAAAGTTAAGTTAAACTTATCGTGATTATTACAATTCGATAATAAAAAATGGGGGTCACCGAGCTCGTTTTTGAGCAATAAGCGCTTAAAGCTAAAATTGAGGGTGTTTTTAGCAGGTAATATTGTTGCTATGGTCACCTGTCAAATTAAAAGGATGACCGCAACTAGTTTACTAGCCATTGGCAATTTGTAGAACACCATAACTGTAGCATCACTTGTTAAACAGTGGTGGTATTCATCCTTCAAGGTACAGCCTCCTTAAACTAGTTTTTCAGCAGAACGTCGTCCATACAATACTATTGAAAACTTTTAATGTTGCCACAGCAACCAACACTAACAAATATCCTTCTAAATCTGTTAACTAACGAGACGTTATCTGGAACACCCCTACTCGAGCTCGTTAAAAATTCATCAAGTTTAAACAAAGGAAATCATGACCGTGACGGTGTTTGGATATCTGATCTTATTTAGCATCGCTTTTGACGATTTTATTTCTCCGTTATCTCCTTAGTTATATTTTCGAGTGAGAGGATATATAAAACACTCAAGACAGTGTTTGACCACAATAAGAAGCACCTCGAAAGTCGTCAAAAATACCCCGCTACGCGTCGTATTTTCGTACTCGTCAATATCGTCAAACACAGTCTCTCGAGTTTGATATATCACCTCAAGCATCAAAGAGCTGCCTTCTACAGTCAGGGAGACACAGTACTTTACTGATGTGACACAATTTAATTTCACCCTACATTCATATTTAGGTTCACCCAAGGGATATCCAACAGCTGAACCAGCAACTGATCAAACAACTGATCCCACAACTGATCTAACAACTGCTCGAACCACTGAACCAACTACATATCCAACACCTGAAACAACAACTGAACCAACCATTGATCCAACAACTGATTTAACCACACATCCAACAACTGACCCCACAACTAAACCAACAAGTGATTCAACCACTGACCTAACCACTGATCCAACCACAGATCCAACAACTCATCCAACCACTGAACCAACAACTGAGCTAACCACTGATCCAACCAAAGATCCAACAACTGTTCCAACCACTGATCCAACATCTGATCCAACCACTGATACAACAACTGATCCAACAACTGATACAACAACTGATCCAACCACTGATCCAACAACTGATCCAACCACTGACCCNCAACCACTGATCCAACAACTGTTCCAACCACTGATCCAACCACTGATCCAACAACTGATCCAACAACTGATCCAACAACTGATCCAACCACTGATCCAAGCCCAGATTCGACAACTAATCCAACCACTGATCCAATCACTGACCCTACCACTGATCCAACCACAGATGTTGCATCTCATCCGCCAACTCAGCCAACGACGGATCCGCCTACTGAGGTATCAACTCTGCCACCAAGTGAGACTACAACGGATCCATCGACCGTGATTGTCGATGCGAGTGTCACATTTATAAACCTCATATTCATTGAGGCTTATGAAGACACCAGTAGCCGTGAATTTGGGGAGCTGAAGAACAGAGTAGAAGGGGCACTGACAGCTCTATTTCAGGGCTATCCTAATTTCCTTTACGTTGTTGTAATCAGTTTTAGTACCGGTAGTGTCATTGCCAATTATTCAGTTGCCTTTAGCGATGCTGCTTCCCCTAATGAAGCAGAACTAAAATCCCGTTTGGAGTCCGTCAATGGGACAGAAATGTTTGATGGACTTATTGTTAAAAACGTTATATTTTCGCAATCGAGTGTGAAACAGGAAGAGGAAGAAGATAGCAGTGATTCACTGCCTGGATGGGCCGTTGCACTGATAGTTCTCGCCTGCCTGGCTTTAATAGTTCTGATTATTGTCTTGACTTTCATACTGATGGTGAGTATAAGAATTCTATCTGTAGCTTGTGTTTAAGTATAGAATTAGAAACACGCCCAGCACAAGAATCCACTCTCAAATATACATCTCTATCTGAAACATCGTTTTTAAGACACTTCAAATGTTTAATAGTATAGGGAGAGCAGATCAACGTTCCAAATGTCAGGAGTCTAAGTTCGCCTTACTGTAGAAACCTATTCACCATGGCAGCTTCTTTTTTTAAGTAACTTGAACTGATTTAAATATAAATCCGCCCTTGACAAAATCAGGCTTTAAGGTCGGGTTACGCTCGTGGCTGTGCGATAAAGAGAAATTGCAAATAATAAATTAATCACGTTTCTACGTTTAATGACATTTTACAGAGGAGAAGGAAGCGAGGTAGGGAAACGACAAGGGTTCTACACAACTCCATTTACATCGATACACTGCGACAAAAAGAAAGGCGCAAAGAAGGAGATGGAGAATCAGCGACAGAAACGAATGCTTATGAAGAACTAATTGCTGCACCAAAAGAAAAAGATGTAGAAAGTGGCGATGCGGTCGGCCAAGAACTGCACACAACCCAAAAGGAAGAAGACTATCAGGAGGTTGTGGTTGTAGAAACATATTACGACAACCCAGGAGAGGGGACGCCCTCACGTTCCCATGGCAACGATGACTAAGAAAATCTGTCCTAAGGGGTAAGGGGAAATAAAGTTGAAACACTTGACTTTTTATGACTACTTGCATTCCTTTCACTTTTGTTTTCCTTAAGCCTTTTTTCGTTTTAACTGCACAGGATGATCAACAAGCAGGCATAGCTCAGAGCATAAAACAAAACCAAATAAAAAACGAAAAACAGATAGACTGCTTTTGATACTCAACCCCCGGGGGGAGGGAACTCTACAAAATGTTATATGTGGAGGCTCTGCCTCGAGGTCCAACCCCTTATCAATTTTGTATACCATTTTAACAGGCTTTCATAACCGGCCCGTATTATGAATAAATCGCCAAGAAAGGAAATCTTTTTGTCATTTTCATGTACTGCTTAATAAATGAAATGATGCAGCCAAAAGGTTTGTTTGTTCGAAATATTTTAATTAACGGCCCTTTTGATTACCTAAACGACAGATTTCCCCACCCTTTCATATACTCCGACGAGTAAAATCCCGACCCTTTTATATACCTGAAGCCTGAAAAAGGTACCCCTTTCTGGCGGCCCCTCCCCCGGGTACTCAACTCAAATGCACTCTTAAAACATGATTAAACATTAAACATTAATTATTTATTATTTTTACAACAAGGTACTTTAAATTATCTGTTTATAATGCTGAGTTTCTTGGAAGAATATCATATGACTAAATTCGCACCATAACTAAGGAACCAACTTTATCATACACTGGATCTTAATATCTTCTGATGTCATTTTGCAGGTTATTAAAAGCAAACTACCCAGTGGAAGATCACTTGGAATGCACGAAAAATTCATTTTGTTTAATCATGGCTGCTTAGTTTTAAACCTTAATTAATAGATATTTTTCGTTAGTTCATTGCTATTTAAATCGGGTAATTTTTTAAAGTAGTTTTGAGAATAATTTTTAGAGTTATTTTTATCTAGCAATATTACTTATTATTTTAACTTAGCTTTTATATTTTATCATTATTGTTTATCTAGTCAACTGTTAGGACCTCTAGTGATATTACTCAGATATGTGTTACACTGACTGAAAAACCCTGGTTATAAATAGATTTACCGATCCATATATAGTTGTTGAAATATTACGTGAGTATGGTACACGTATGACAATGATTCTGGCTTTTTTTGTTATTAATCTAGAGACATTTGGACGGTTCTTAAACCTTCATCAGTTACAAACTTTACATAGTTATGTGCCAGGCAAGTTACCAGACAATATCTCACCTGTATATTTAAATATTAACCCAGGAGCGCACGTTGGACATTATAATTTCATATCCAACAAGCGTGAGTACAGTAATTGTGATATTGAAAATGCCCCAAAATATAGGAAAGTAGAATAGATTAAAAACGCCCCCAAAAAACTATGCGTACCTTTACCATGTTTGTAGAGTATGGTATAATGGCTCATATACCATGATGGCTAAGCCAATGAAAAGTCTTGAATTGCATTATCCAGTGATCCAGTTTTTAATGAATTGAGACATATAATAGGCATTTACATAGTGGGGTTGGACATGACTAAATGTAACGACCAATACTATTTAAATGTACCGAATCTGAACCAGCTGAAATAGGCGCAACTGCCACAGTATTATGCGTGCTTCAGTTATATATTTAAGGACACAGAGGCAATTTGTACTCAAAAGTACAGCTAGTAAATTAAACTTGAAGATGATGTTTTGATTGATTACTGCTACCATTCAGTAATTTACAAATGACAGATGACTACTCCGAAGATGATAGAAAGATTGTCAGTTGATGACGAGGGGGCACATAATGTGAGCCACTGCCAAAAATTTGTATATAAATAGTTCATTGAGTCCATTAACTTCAATAGCACCCACTACTAACCACGATATTAATTGAGAAAAGAACTTGTTTCATTTGATTTTAATTTAATATTTTTGCAAAGACATTGGCCTTTTTACTGTCCTAACTCCTACAATATATTGTAAATATTTCTAGATTAACTCTTGGTATCGTTTGGAGCCTTGTTCAATAAATTGGGATAAAATGTTGCTGTGTTTGTCTGCATAGCTCAGAGAATTCTTGCACTGTGATTGGATAACAAGGAGTAAGTTTGTTATAATTGGACCCTTCCAGCGACTGGTAAATTGATGAACACTACCTAGGATTATTCATTTCCAAATTCAAAATATGACAACATTCTCTGCCTAACAATTTTAAAAATTTATATTTAAATATCTTAATTGACCACTCCCCCAATGGCGCTTTTCAAGTCCAATGGAAACAAATGATGCCAATGCTAAATCATCAAATACTTAACAATTTAAAATGATTGTATTACAGGCTAACTAAATTGATTAAAATAGCCTTACTCACCAAGTGTGTCAACCAGCTAGGCTGCCAGATCGACTAACTTCCCAACAAATACCACTGGGTCAATAATGCTGGCAGCCTCTGCTTTCTATCACTGCCATTGAAGATTGAAGAGTTCACTTCATTGAATACCTTTCATAGTAAAGCAGAATAATTTCAGCTTATTGCACATGTTACCATGACTTTCGTATCAGTTAATACAAATTTTCTTTACAGTACAACGTCAAGAACTCCATAAATAACTTACTCAAACAGGATTCTTGACGAACTACAAACTCCTTTGATATCTTGAGTCCATAACAAATTAAGTTAAAAATAACACAAATTTAGATGAGCATGAATGAAGATTTACAGTCAGTATTAAACGCGGACTGCCGACTGCAGACTTCTGACTGACTACAGGGCTAAAATGCAATCTGAAGGTGAAATACAGACTGAGGGTAAAATGCAGACTGAGGACAAAATTAAGATCAGGGAGGGGGGTACTCCAATATAAAAAGGGCAGGGGTGCTCGTCGGAAATTTTGAAAAGACCCCCTAAGAGGTGCCAAGATCCTGTTTGGTGGGTGTGGCTTGAAATGTTTTTCACCCCTAAGAAGTACCAGTTCTCAAACGACACAGTTATCTTCTGTCTTATTTTTTGCAGCTCAATACTCTAAAAGGAACCTTAAAGGCTGGCCCACTGTGAACCTTTTGAGCCTTAACACCTTAGAAGGTACCAAAACTGCTTTTTTAGTCCCTAAAGGGTACGACGAACACCCCAGCCTTTTTATATGGGAGTCCATCTCCTGGGAATGCAGACTGCAGACCAGGGATAAAATGCAGATGCAGACCAGGGGTAAAATGCAGACTGCAGGCCAGGGGTTGAATGCAGACTGAAGACCAAGAGTAAAATGCAGACTGCAGGCGAGGGGTTAAATGCAGACTGCAGGCCAGGGGTTAAATGCAGACTGCAGGCCAGGGGTAAAATGCAGACTGCGGGCCAGGGGTAGAATGCAGACTGCAGACTAGGGGTAAAATGCACACTGCAGACCAGGGGTAAAATGCAGACTGCAGACTAGGGGTAAAATGCAGACTGCAG